TTTTTTGGTTTTTCTCCGGTACCGGGAACCGAACTCACGACCTTGCGCTTGCCAGGCAGGCGCTTTTGCCACTGAGCTAAATCCCCAGCCCCAAAGTTTTTGAGTATCATTTCTGGATCCCTGGCACGAAGAACTTGTGGGCACTTCCCCGTGGCACTCACCTGACTCGGCAACCTGAGAAATGGGCACACCCTGCTCCTGGGACATGAAGCCCAGGATGGAGAAGATGGCAAAGCCGGCCATGAAGCTGGTGCCGCTGTTGAGGAGGCAGAGGGCGATGCAGTCCCTGTGGGGGGCGGATGTGGAGAAGGAGGCAACAGGCTCACCAAGGGCTCCCTGTCAAATCCAGGTGACTTCTAAGTGCTGGCTCTGCTCCACCTCCCCACCACTGGCTTGGCTCGGTGTGAGATGAATCACGATGACCCTACAAGAATGATACGCTAAGCCCCCCACACACTGCCCTGCACTTCTGGAGACACGACTGCTCTGACACAATTCCATCAGGCATGACACGGACAATCCCAGACACCTAAATGTGACCTTTGAAATGCACAATAGGATTTTTTTCATCTGTATTTCAGCTAGTTACATTTGATTTCAGTTCTCTGAGAATGAACTGGGAAGGCAGAAAGGAATCCTGGGGAAGGGAGTGGTACGAGGGAGGGGCCCGCAGGAAGCACACCCAGGAGGCGAGGTGAAAGTTAGCAAGGACTCGGTGTTCGCTGGGGCAGGTTTAAAGGCAAGACTGAGGCTGCAGCATGGGACAGATGTGCAGTTGTTTCTTCTCCCCTAGTGCTCCCAAACCCTCTAATCTCTGAATTAGCTGGGGCCGCAGATCCCTCGTGATCCCCAGCTGATTGCTACTTTCCCACCTTTCCAGAAGCAGCCCCTCTGCCCGTCCTGCAGTTGACCTCATTCAGCACCCAAGAGCACCCTGGCATGGATGTAGGCATGTAACAAGGGCAACTGTATGAGCTGGTGTGGGTCAGGCCCCACTCCCCCAGTCACCTGTAGCAGTTGTTGTGGTACTTGTTGTAGCTGCCCAGGGCCGTGAGGCAGCCCAGGCAGATGGCAAAGGAGAAGAAGATCTGGGTGCCTGCATCCATCCACACCTGTGAGGGAGATAGCAAGAAGGCTGACCTTCTGGAAAGTGGCCCTGTGCGCCTCCGTGGGAAGACACAGCCACGAGCCAGGCCCCAGGCAGCCCCTGCTGCCCGTTCACTCGGTGGCCCTCCTCCCTGGGTCCTGCATGGGCTTGGGAAGGAAGAAACAAAGGGAAACTTGAAGGAGGATCAGCAGAGGGTGGGCAGGCGGGTCGGGGTGGGTCGGGTTTGATGGGTCCGCTCTATCTTATCCCCGACAGGAACTCAGGCAAAAGAGCTCTAGGGATATGGGTCCCAGAACCCTCTGTCTGAAAACCAGGGAGAGGAATCCTCCACCTCCGCTAAGTGTGTGGGATGAGCAGAAACAAATCTGAAGAGTGCTTTGTCCTCACTGGGGAAAACACCTTCCCAGCTAAACCTCAGGAAGGCTGTCACTGTTATGTCAGCTGCCGGCCCAGTCTGTGATCTAACAGCTGGAACAACATCCCAAAGAGAAAGAACATCAGGGCGACAGGACTAAGGAACCCTGCAGAGTTGGGGGTGGGCAGACGGCAAGTACCTCCAGGGAGCACTAAGCTGTGGACACGGCCCCGTGCTCCCAGGAGAAAGGGGACAGGGTGACCCCTTCTGTGTCTTGGCCTAGTCCCACCCAGGAGCTCCCAAACAGGCTCCTGCTGTGCATAAACCTTCCAGGCTCCCGTCATTTCCTGCCACCAGCCGCCACCTCCAGTTCCATACGCAGAGCTCCTCAATCCCTCCCTGCCTTCCCCTGGCCCTACCCAAGGCCACCACCCTTTCCCTGACCCCTTGCTCTCCCCTGTCTCACTCGGTCCTACCTGGGCACCAGTTTTCCTCTACGTTGTAGGGTCTGGGGAGCCACAGGCAGGCTGACTGCCTGGAGTGACACTGACTGGCACCCCAGCTGAGGCCCTGAATCCTGAGCCCCAGAAACTGTGTCCTTTTCAAAGCTTCCTGGTCATCCTAATGAACACGAGGTATGGGATCGCTGCCCTGTGCCCCCGAGGACAGGCATGAGGGATGTACCCAGGGCACTCCTCCGCTGGTGGTATTTGCACCTCTGCAGGCCTGGGGACCAAGCGGGGGGAGAATGTGAAGAGAAGGGAAGGGAGTCTCCAGCTGTCCATCCCTCTGCTCGCAGGAGTCCCTTCCCCGAGTGATCTCTGAGGTAGGAGTTGCCACCAGGGAAAGGGGTCAGAAGCGAGAAGCCCAAGGAGGATTTAGAGGGCTGGAGTTCGTGCGGAAACAACATGAAAGGCCAACGCACGGCTGAAACTTAACTCTGAGAGAAAGTTATAGTGGAAAAAAGAAAGGGGGTTGGGCATTTATGTCAGAAGCTAGAGGAGGAAACGCAGGAGTGAAATCAAACCCTGAAGACAGCAAGGAGGCTGCTTGCGCAGAGCAGTACAATGCCACACCGCACTGGAGCAGAGGCTGGGCCAGGCTGGTTGCTCCTTCTAGGTGTTGCAAATCCTTCACTCTCCTAAAACTTTGCCCCATAGCCGTCTCAGGAAAGCTCAGTGGGTCCCTCTGTTCTGCCTCATTTCTGCCTTTAGGGGTAGTTTCTTGACAACATCAAGCCTGGAGCGTTGTAGGAAGACCCTGAGCTTGTGCAGAGAGGACTGACCAGGGTCAGCGATCTGAAGTGCCGGGCTCCTGTGCTGAGGCCATCTACATCATGAAACCAGTTACTCCCACCTAACAGCAAAGCCCTGGAAGCCTCCAGCTTGGGCGTGTGCCCAGACAGCACACAGGGTACAGATGGGTCCACACATTACCAGGAAAACTCCCGAGTATGCTCGGGACAGTCTGTGACTGCCACACACGGACAAGCAGGGGCTCTGTCCTGGGATGAGGGAATCTGTGAATTTGGGCTTGGGATAAGTAAAGAGAGAAATGGTGACTTGTTGTTCACTTAGCCTTACTACGGACAGCTAAGTTATGCAGAAACATTAGAGGCAGTCAGACAGGCCTGGCCCTTGAGGGAGTCAGAGCAGAAGATGAGAACACGTTACAACTGTGGCTGGAGGCACATCTGTTGCAGGCCAGGCCGCAAGATAAGGACAGAATGACCAGCCTCCGTGCCTTCCCAAGGATAAGCAATATACTGTAATCGGTATCGCCTGGTTCAATAAAGGCTAGATAGACATCAGTCAACCAGGTGGGTGACCAGGACGACCCAACTCATCACTTCTCAAAAGAGGTTCTTGTTCTTTCCATGTACACTTGCTAAGTGGCTTGCTTCCCCATTGGAGCAACATTCCCTAGGCGGCCGCACTTGTAATCTTATTGGTTCATCATAGTTGTGTCACACAGTGTACCCATCTTGCAACTTTGTAACCACCTCATGATCTTTCTCTCCAAAACTTCCTCCTTTGAGAAGTGGGCTCACTGGCAACCCACTTTCAGGTCCCCTCCTATCTCTCAGAAGCTATCTCTCTCAATAAAGTTTTCCTATTTTTAACTTCCGTGGTTCCTTAGAATTCATTCTTTAATTTTGGGACATACGAACTTGATGTATCAGACAACTAGCAGGTGGGGAATTATATTTATTTCCCCTATATCATTTGGAGGTCCTACTGAGATAATTGGAAGTAGGTAAGAGTTTGCTTTTGTTTCATGGATTCTGGATTGTGACTTGTTTAAGTAATAAAAAATTGTCATCCTTGTTTGTCAGTTGCTCATGCCTAGAATTTTTATGCCTTGCCTTTCTACACATTTTTGTTTAAAATGATGATACATTTAAATTTAGAACATGGGAAGATTATGATGTTTCTTTGATGGGACATTTAATTTTTATAGATGTGGTCTTATATTCTTTGTTTTGTATATGCTGCATTTGGTCTTACTAGTTGCTGAATTTATTGGTGCTCCTTGCTTGACCTGTTTGACTATTGTGGTTTGTTATCTTATTCTAGACAACAGCCCTAAGGAAAAGTAATGTTAGAGAATCCCCTAGTGGACTTTGATGCTAACCAAAGTGTGAGTTTCTTTTTTATGAAATCTAGTCTATATTTAGGAAATATACATGTCTATTAATAAATCATGGGACCCACAACTGCCAATTAAAAGGTGATAGAATAGCAGCCATTCTTAAGACTTGGGGGATGGGTTCCATTAGGACAGTCTGGCCTGATCTCCCTGTCTACATTCTAGGGGAGAATGTTGAGTTTGTCCTGCCTCAGTTTGCTTTCTGGTCTGATCTTCCACGGTTGAGGGGCAATCTTAGCTCTTAGGATTCCCCACTCTTGCCTTTCCAGACTCCAGGTGATGATTCATGGACAAATTGTCTCAATAACTCACCTGTAGCCTGAGAAAAAAGACTTCCTTTTTCTGATCTTCTTTCTAATCTTTTCCTGCCACTTTATACTTTCCTTTTTTGGAGGCATGTTTCTGCTAAAGATTAGAGAGGGTGGAACCCTGAACTGTCTCAACCTTTCCCTGCTATCCAACAATTAAGAACCTTTAAGTTGAGCCAAACACAGGGAAGTCATCTTAGATGAGGAACACACATCACCTTAGGTGTCTCTCTGGGTCAGATGAGACATGGGAATTTTGCTCTTCCAGGAGAACAGGCATGAAAGAGACATTTCCACTTAAGTGTCCTGGGCAACAGTCTTCTTTGGAGACTGAACCTGAGACCCCATGGGAAGAACTGACTTCTGGGTGAGACCAGAAGGAGCTGCTTCCTCAAGCACAATATTTTAGGGACAAAAACACATTTAGTTTAAGGGAGAATCCCCAGCCTCCTGGCTTTCTCTCTCCCCTCCTAGGCCTGATTCTCATCATTTATGTGTGCAGGGGAGAGAAGTACTTTTGCTAATGTGCAAACTGTGGTTGCTTAGCGATGGGCATAGGTTTTAATCTGTGAGTTTCATAAGTTTCTGTAAGATATAGAAACATAGAATCGCTTCTTGGCCTTTTGGCTAAGATCAAGTGTAGAAACATAGAAATTTTTGAGTGGATTTTGAGTGAAACTTAGCCTTGTCTTGCTGTTAGGGAACACTGACTTGGTGATTAGGTAGACAACACAAATGTCTTGGAGACTTCCTAGGGCCCAGGGCAAGATTTTTCTGAGCCATTACTTGACTATCTATTTCTAGATGTGATCTCTACTGCAGGCTGGGAAGTGCTCCAACTACTTCCTATTTGCCCTTTAGTTTTTCTTTTTCATTCTCTTTCAAAAAAAATTGGAAAGAAGTGGCTTGGGTCTCTTGATTATTGGCTTAATTTTGCTAGCAGTTCTTCCTTCTTTAAACATGACTGTTCTAGTTGGGACCTATTGCATTGGTTTTTTGTTTTGTTTTTGAGATAGGATCTCACTATGCAGTTCAGGCTGTTATTGAACCAGCTTATATAGCCCAGGCTTGCTTTGAACTCACAGTGATCCTGTTGCTCCAACCTCCCAAGTGCTGGGATTATAGGCATGGGGCACCACATTTGGCTGGAATCAACTGTAGTTGTGCTTTTGGAAACACATGCTGGAGTTAGGAGTGTCAGTTTCCAGGAAAGGTAGGGGTGTGAGTCAGTAAGTGTGGCTAGTTCAACCCAGCCTATCTTCTGCTCACTCCCTGATAGCACCACCTGCTTTGGAGCAGGTCACCTCAAAGGATGCCTTGAGAGAATACAGAAATCAAGTAGGGATTAAAAGGGATGCCTATTTTTTTCATCTTGTGTTGCAGATGGGAGACTTGATGTTGAATTCTCTTCTGTTTTGGAATGTATTCTTAAGCACTGGCAATTGTTCAAGCCTCACCTATTGAGAAAGAGTTGTTTAGTATTTTTCTGCAGCCAGGCATGGTGGTACACACCTGTAATCCCAGCACTTGGGAGGCTGAGGCAGGAGGATTGTTGTCAGTTTGAGACCAGCCTGGGCTACAAAGTGAGCTCAAGGCCAGCCTGAACTGCATAGTGAGACCCTGTCTCAAAAAGACAAAAAAAAAATATATTTTTCTGCAACTGAGCATGGTCTGCCTACCCTCTGGAGGCAA